GACAAATCACAAAATCTGCTGAGAAACTAACAGAAGTAAAAAGGATGACTGAAAAATAATGCTAAGTCACTGAATGAGAATTCTTTAGGGCATCAAAGAAATGAATGGAACAGACTGGAGATATGAATGGGCCACTCCAAATTAAATTTTCAGGGAGGGCGATTTATGTTCAAGTCTTTTGTAATAAAGACAGGGGAGAGAGGCATTACCAAATCTTGGTAATTTCACTTCCTAAGTATCTCTTTAATCCACCCATTGGCGTCTCTCAATACAAACCTGCTATATTGGAACATGTACAGAAATATCTGGTAGTTAACTACATCATTTTAATATACAGTTGCAATAATTTTACTTCACAATTACTTGTACAGGACGGTTTTTCTACAATGTAGGAAACAATACAATGTAAATATGTCCTGAAGAAGCAAGAGATCCCAAAAGGAGAAGAAATTCAAAAAAACTTTGAGAACCTACTAAATGAAATAATTATTGGCAATTACACAGGTCTTTCATGAGACGTGGACATCCTGATAGAAGAAGCTCAAAGAATCCCAAGCTGACTCATTCAAAAGAAGATCTTACCCAAGGCATCTTGTAGTCAAACTGTCAAAAGTAAGGGATAAGAAGAGAATGCTAAAAACAGTAAGAGAACAGCAACAGTTACACATAAGGGAAAATCTAATTAGATTAACTTCAGACCTCCCTGCAGACATCCCACAGGTAGGAACAGAGTGAGACGATATATTCAAGGTTATAAGGGAAAAAAACTACCAACCAAGATTATATCAGCCAAATTTTGTCCTTTAAAAGTGAAGGACAAAAATTGGTATTTTTCAGGTAAGCAAAAACTGAGAATCAGACCAGTCTTACAGGGAATTCTGCAGGAGGCCATACATTAGAAGTAAGCATCACGAAAGCACATGACACTGCCAACTTCAGGAAGTATAATCAGTATTCAGTATTATACAGAAGGAATAATCAGTATTCAATCCACCAAATGACAGGGTTAGCTCTCATCAGTCAGTAATAATTTTGAATGTAAACAGATTAAATTCTCTAGCCAACGACTTAGGTAGGCTGTCCCAAAAGGAGAAACACCATATATGCTCACTGAGCTGTGGTTACTAATAGGGCACCTAATAGGCAATCCAGATAAAAGATTTTAAGATGGCAGAATAGAGAGGGAGCTCATTGCTCTAGTCTAGAAGATAGTTTTAAGAGGGGAAAAAAGTGGAGATTGCAATCTCAAGAAAGGGAAAAAACTTCAGAGGACACTCCATGCAAAGTAGAGGACACTGGATCTGTGTGGAGGGTGTGGACACACAGAACTCAGTAACCAAGTGGCCAAGAGCATCAACACCAGCTTTGGAGAGTGAGCTGAGATCACTGAAGTAGCCCAAGCCACTGGCGATAAAGCTGAGGGAACAGCCTGGAATGAGTTTGGCTTGGAGCCCTGTGGGAGACAGTGTACCTGCCACCTAGAAGAAAAAAGGGGGGGGCATATGTTTCTATCTCCCTGAGCCACCCTGCATCAGTATCCTGTAACTAGCTGAAGTATGGCAGGAACCATTTTGGACATACTTATCAGCTGTTCCAGCTTCTGTCCATGTACCCAGCAACCAGCTGAGATGAGACGCCTGAGTCTGGCTGGGAGAACTGACAGGGGTCTGGGCGGTTTTGACTGCGGGAGCCTTGTGTGCTGGGATTGTGAAAACACTGTGGCTGCATGGAAGGGTGCAGGGTGTGGCCGGGTCCCTGAGCAGTCATTCTGGGCTGCTCCACATGCTCAGGTTGCCCTGATTCTCTGGTGAGAGTCACTGCTGCAGGATCCAGGCTCACACTGCGAACTGCACTGATGCTTTGTGTGTTCTTGTGGCAGTGTGGACGAATACAACACTCACTGGGGCTAGAGCTCTGCAACTGGTCTCCTTGGAGCAGAGAAGGTGAGCATGAGAGTATGACAACAGAACTGATAAAACTCTCTCCTCTTACAAAAAAATAAGAGAGATTGGCCAGTGCCACGGCTCACTTGGTTAATCCTCCACCTGCAGCACCGGCACCGCAGGTTCTAGTCCCAGTTGGGGTGCCAGATTCTGTCCCGGTTGCTCCTCTTCCAGCCCAGCTCTCTGCTGTGGCCTGGGAAGGCAGTGGAGGATGGCCCAGGTCCTTGGGCCCTGCACCTTCATGGGACACCAGGAAGAAGCTCCTGGCTCCTCACTTTGGATCGGTGCAGCGCACCAGCCGTAGTGGCCATTTGGAGGGTGAACCAACAGAAAGGAAGACCTTCCTCTCTGTCTCTCTCTTATTGTCTAACTCTGCCTGTCCAAAAAAAAAGAGATACCACCACCACCATGTTGATTGCAATACGGTTCACAGCAGCCACAAGGAATAAACATGGATTAAACCAAGATTTCCATCATCAGATGAATTATTAAGGAAAACATGGTATAGATTGACGATCAAATGTTATTCAGGACTTAAAAATAATGAAATTTTATCAAGTGCATCAAATGGAGCTACTGGAGGACTTCATCTTAGAGAAATCAGCCAGAAAAAGAAAAATACCACATGTATTACCTTACATGTGAAAGTTAACTTTTTGAAAAATTCAAAACACAAAAACCAAAAAAAAATGCCAATGTGTATCACTATTGCTGCAAATATACTCCTAGAAAACACTGTTTGATAACCTGGACAAACCAGTGGTTAAGAACGGAACACTGGGGCCGGAACTGTGGCATAGTGGGTTAAGCATCCATTGTGGTGCCGGCATCCCATATGGGCACCAGTTTAAGTCCAGCTGCTCCACTTCCAATCCTCTTCCTTGCTGATGGCCTGAGAAAGCAATGGAAGATGGCCCAAAGGCTTGGGCCCCCGCAACATAGTTGGAAAGATGGAAGAAACTCTTGGTTCCTGGCTTTGCACTGGGCCACCTCCAGACATTGTGGCCATCTGTGGAATGAACCCATATTTATGGAAGTCCTCTAACTCTATGCCTCCCTCTCTCTGTAACAATACCTCTCAAGAAAACTAATTTTTTTTTAATTTAATGTCCTAAAATAAAAGATCATCATACTTCTCTGGTGGAACTTTATTATTTCTAGCTTTTACCTATGAATATTATGGTTACCCTGAATATTACATGGATTATAATCATATCATGAAAATAGATGAAAGAGGAAAGGAAGGAGGGGAAAGGGGGAGAGCAGAAATCCTGGGTTTATTCTTAGAACTGTACCTACACAATGCATGAAATATGTTCTCTTTTCATTCATTTTAAAAATAATTGAAGGGGCAGGGGCTGTGTGGCAGTGTGTTAAAACCCAGGCTTGAAAGGTGGGCATCCCACATGGGCACAGGATCTAGACTCCACTGCTCCTCTTCTGATCTAGCTCTCTGCTATGGACTGGGAAAGCAGTAGAAATGGCCCAAGTCCTTGGGCCCCTGCACCCATGTGGGAGACCCAGAAGAGGCTCCTCGTTCATAACTTGCGACTGGCTCATTTCTAGCCATGTGGCAATTTGGGAAATGAACCAGCAGAGTGAAGACTTCTCCCTCTATCTCTACACCTCTTTCAGTAATTTTGTCTTTTAAGTAAGTAAAAGTAAATTTTAAAATTTAAATTTTAAAAAGAAAAAAGAATGTTACGTTAGTATAGTTTTAATGATCTGTGATTACTTTAAATTTAGGGTGTATAAATAAAATGGTCATTTTTCCATTCAACTGATTATACTTGTTACTTATATTCCCTATAAACGAGGGTTTCTAATCTTTCCTTGTTTTTAGAAGATCTATTTTGTTTTTTACAAAGACATTGTTACATACAGAGAGTGAGAAAAGAAGGAGAGATCTTCCATCTGCTGGTTCACATTTCCAGGTCCCCCACATGGGTGCAAAGTCACAAGCACTTGGGCTGCTCTCTCCTGCTTTGGTGCATTAGCATGGAGTTGGATCAGAAATGGAGTATAAACTGGTGCTGTGGCATCACGAGTAAGGGTGCCTTCTGCAGTGCCGGCATCCATATGGGTGCCGGCTTCAAGTCCCAGCTGGTCGACTTCTGATCCAGCTCTCTGCTATGGCCTGGGAAAGCAGTGGAAGATGGCCCAAGTCCTTGGGCCCCTACACCTGCACTAGAAGACCCTGAGGAAGCTCCTGGCTCCTGGCTTCGGATCAGTGCACCTCTGGCCATTTGGACCTTCCAGGGAGTTAACCAGTGGATTGAAACCTCTCACTCACTCTCTCTGCCTCTCTACAACACTGTCTTTCAAATAAATGAATACGTCTTGAAAAAAAAAAAAGAAGTGGATTAAATGGGACTTGAATAAGCACCCATAGGGGGATGCCAAACATTGCCCCCACCCCCATTTTTTAGTATCTGAACTTCTTACTTGGTAAAGAATTTAGCTTTTTTTACTAAAATGCAAATATAGAAACTGTCCAAAATGGATGAAAGTAAGGAAGGGAGGAACAAATGGAGAAAGAAAGGAAGAGGTACACTGGGAGAGACAGCGTTGGAAGGAGAGCAGAAAGAAGGGAATGTTGATTCATAATTGTTCTATAGAACATATTGAAGAATTTTGTTAACCTAAAAAACAAATACATCTACTAGGATGTATTAATCTTTGATGGAGATTTACATAAAATAGGTAAGCACTCAAATTGCAGTAAAATTAAAAATGTAAAATGTGCATGTTCGCAAAATTCTGTACAAGGAAAACATGACTTATAAAAATGTAAGTTTGAAAATCTTTCTGTAGAAATAAACTATAAAGTGAGAGTATAAAACTATATAATTCTGCATAAGTGTTACTCAAAAATAACACTGCATTGAAAAGAAAAACCTAAGGAAGAATTTGCATTCCTAATAAATGTAACAGTGTGAAATAAGACAAGGTATAATGGCTCATAAAAGCAAATGGAAACATCAGAGATGGTATAAAAAAACACTGAGGAATAGGAAGTACTACAAAGTATACATTCCAACATAAGGGGAAGATATTTCAAGAACTCCTACCTGGTAAAGTCCTGCAGGACTCCAGTCATCCCCAGCCCCCAAACAACAATTCTGCTCCATGAAAGCAGAAGCTTTCACACAGAGCTGCCTAGAAGGATATGGAAAACATATACCACGACAAAGCTGTGCGCAGTTTATCAAAATGTCTTTGAAAGACAACAAACTCACAACTGCTTCTTTCCACAAACTTTTCAAAGTACCTCACATTGGCCCCTGCATTACATTAAATAACTAGAATAAATGCTGGCACATAACAGAAACATCTTTGAAAGACAAGAAATACATCCTTTACCAAGAGAGAGTCCTCTGCCCAAATTCAGACTTCTATAAGCTGACCTCAAGCCTCAAATTTCAGTCCAGGCTTGATCAGGTTCTTGTCTTCCTAAGCACAACACCAATCCAGTTTTCTCCCAGATAATCCTCTCCCATCCCTGGTATTCCAGAGACCTTTGTCAAAGTTTCCTGATTGACCATGCACCCATACCACAGTCCCTAAGAAAGACCACACCACACCCATCACCATTTTCTTACCCTCACATTTCCTAAGGTTTTTGCCCAGATGCTGTCCAGGTCTAACACTCGGAGACTCCACCAGTCCTACCAGTAGACCTACAAGCTCCTCCCTATTACAACTCTACTGAAAGTCACCGGACCTCCTCCATACACTCCTTCCATTTCCCTGTCTATATCACAGAGTGGCAATATACAGAAATTACCTGATTTCAGCTCCCAACTCCTTGCATGCCCCAGGTTCTTCCATGAAATCTAACCCTCCACTCACACCACACTAAATACCTCCATCCCGTCATTCTTAGGCCCGAAATCTAAAACCCAAACTTTTATTAACACGTCTCTCCAAACCAGACTTCTTGGGTTTTGTACTCTGACTCGACAGCACACACTTTTCCTCCAGGTCTCCCTCCCATTTCCTGGATACCCAAGTCTTTCCCTATTACCATGTTCTTTGGCCCCTAATTCTCTACAGAGCCCTGCGGAACTCATTCCCCAACATCCTATCCACCCCTGTCTCCATGCTCTCCAAATCTACTGAAGCCCACCAGGCCCCTACATTTCTCCCCATGCCTGTGGGGCTGCCCCACATGACCCTCCTTGCCACGGGGTAAGGGCACATCACTGTCAGCCTGGGCCGCCCAACCCCAGGGAACGGGCTTTCCCTTCCCTTCCCCTTGTGCATCCAGACATGGCACTACTGGGGCAGCCACATCTACTCACCAGTTGCTCCTCTCCAGGATGAAGGCCCAGCTGGCATTGAGCAGGAAGCTGTGCAGTCTCTCCGGGAATGGGAGATTACTTGGCAGCTGAGCTTCAGCGTCCACTCTGGGTTAGTTTCACATCCAGATCTTCTGGGAGGGAGGAGGGGAGGCAGACATCGCTTCTCGGCTTCTTCATGGCTGAGCCGCTGCCCACCCCCACTGACTCCGAACCTGTGGATTTCGGGGGAGAACGCTGCTGGAAGTCACGGGATCCCGTCTCCTTTGAGGCAGCCCCTGGGCATCTCTGTCCTGTTAGCTTAAATACGCAAGTGCCAGCCAACTAACACCTCCCCCTTCCTCCCAGGAAACACAGTGTCAGTGGAGGAGGCCAAGCTACCTTGATGAATCAGGGGAAGCAGCCTTAGCTCTAAATGGCACTGTGAACCTGTGCTTATCACAATCAGAAATGCTCCATGGACATCATCGATTCCCATCTAGCCCACCAGAATCTCAGGGCAGTATGGAGCTCTCTAGACCTCTGGGCTGACACCCAGACAGTCCCGTTGGCGTAGCGCTCTGACAAACTACCCGTGGTCAGGGTACTGAATGGAGGATACCTGCCCAGTATCCTTGGCCTAGTCGGTGGCCAGGGCTGCTGCCCGGAGTCAGACAAGCAGGCCTGGTGCTGTGTTACAGCACGTTAAAGCCATGGCATGCAGTGCTGTCTTTCCATGTCGGTGCCAGTGTGTGTTCTGGCTGCCCAACTTCCAATCCAGCTCCCTCCTAATGTGCCTGGGGAAGTGGTGGAGGATGTCCCAATTCCTTGGGCCCCTGCAGCCACATAGGAGACCCAGAAGAAGGTCCTGGATCCTGACTTCATATTGGCTCAGTTGGCCATCACGGTCATTCCAGGAGTGTACTGGCAAATGGAAGACCTCTCTCACTCTCATACTCTCTCAATCTCGTTCACCTGCACTTGTTCTGTTTCTCTCTAATTCTTTTTTATTTTATTGATTTTTTTTGACAGGCAGAGTTAGACAGTGAGAGGGAGAGACAGAGACAAAGGTTTTCCTTCTGTTGGTTCACCTCCCAAATGGCCACTATGGCAGTGCTACACCAATCCAAAGCCAGGAGCCAGCTGCCACCTCCTGTTCTCCCATGCGGGTGCAGGTGCCCAAGCACTTGGGCCATCCTTCAATGCCCTCCTGGGCCACAGCAGAGAGCTGGACTGGAAGAGGAGCAGCTGGGAATAGATCCTGGTGCCCATATGGGATGCCGGCATTACAGGTGGAGGATTAGCCAAGTGAAACACATTGCCTGCTTTCTCTCGAATTCTTAGAAATAAATGAAATAAATGTTTTTATTAAAAAACCCCACATTATTATCTCATTAGATAGAGACATAACCTGAAAGATCCAATCCCATTCATGATAAAAAAAAAAAAACTTCCACAAAGTAGGTATAAAAGGAATAGGCATCAAAATCTTAAAGGCTATGTATCACAGCTCAACAGCCAATGTCATGCTGGATGGGCAAAAAGTGAAAGCATTTTGGTCAAACATGTAACAACACAAGGATATCCCCTTTTAAAATTCTTACTGAATGCAGTACAGTAAATTTTCACAAGAGAACGAAAGAAGAAAGAAATAAACAGCACCTAGATTATAAAAGAGAAAGTGAAATTCTAAAAGCTTACAGATGGCATGATATGGTACCAGAAAAAAACTAAAACAATCCACCAAAAACACTGCTAGAACTGGTTGAAACAATTAAGTGAAGTTTCAGGTTATGAATAAACATAGTGTGTAAGCAGCAGTGTTTATACATTAATGATGAACTCACTGACAGAGCAATCAACAAGTATCCCAAGGACAATAACCACATAAATAAAAGTTTAGGAAAAAATTTAACCAAGAAGTCAAAGAGCTCTAAATGAAAATCACCATACACTGATGAACGAAATCACCAAGGACACAAAAGTGGAAAGATGTCTCTTTTGGTGGATTTGAAGAATCAGTATAATTAAAATCTCTACCTTGCCTAATGCTACCTAAGATTCAATAAATTTTCATCAAAAACACCAATGACGTTTTTTACAGAATTATATACCACAAACCTATAATTCAAACAAAATCACAGAAGATGCAGAATAGATAAGGTGTTTCTGAGCAAAAAGTGAAACAAACTTAGCCTGGATACCTCACACACCTGATTCAAAGCATTCTACAAATGACACTAAACAAAATATCATAGCACTTGCATAAAAAGTGACACACAGACCAATGGAAGAGAACAAGGCGAGCTCCACTATTAATCAAAATATCTTCATTACCATATTTTTACAAAAGGTCTCAGACCATCCATTGGAGTTCTTCAACAAGTGGTGTTGCCAAAAATGGATGTATTTGTGTCGAAGATTGAAATACATTCATAACTCCAACAAATATGAAAATCAACTCAAAATGGATCAGAGACCTAAATCTATGACCCAGGACTGTGAAGCTTTTTGAAGGAAATACAAAGAAAGCTCCAAGACACTGGAATAGGGGATGACTCTTAGACAAGACCCTCAAAGCCCAGGCAGCTAAAGCAAAACCAAACAAATAGGATCAAATGAAATTAAAAGTTTTGCACAGCGAAGGAAATCATCATAGAGTGAAGAGACATTCACAAGAATGACCAAAGGATACTTGTCAGCAACCTATATGAAAAGGGTTAATATCAGGAATACATCTGCAACTTAAAAAAACACCAATAAAAACCCAACCAATCCAGTATGAAGTAGCCAAAGGAGCTCAACAGACAGTTCCCCATCGATATACAGATGGCCAAGAAATACAGGAAAAATGCGCAACATCACAAGCTATCAGGGAGATGCAAATCCAAACCACAATGAGATATCAGCTCACACGTACATACTGGCTAAAACCCAAAGGACGGAGAGTCACAATGAGGAGGAAGATGTGGGAAAAGGGAAAAAACTTACCCACTGGTGGTAAAAATGTAATCAGTGCAGATGCTGTGGAAAACGGTATGGAGATTTCTTAAAAAAACCAGACAGACTTGCCATACGATATGGAGCAATCCCTCTACTGGCTATAACCCAAAAACACATGAACGTATTGTATCAGAGAGATACGTCCACCACAATATTTATTGCAGTATGCTTCACGGCAGCAAAAACAAGAAATTGACGAAGTCTTCTAACATCATCGTTGAATGGGTAAGAATAATACTATACACACACACACACACACAGAGTGAAACAACCTTACAAATCCCTCTTTCCACAAACTTTTTCAAGGACCCACATGATGCTCTCTGCATTACCTTAAGTAACTAGAACAAATGTGGGCACATCACAGACACTCCTTTGAAACCCAAGAAAAGCAAGTTTACCAAGAGAAAGTCCTCTGCTATAATTCTGACTTCTACAAACTGAATACAAGCCACAAACTTCATTCCCAGGCTAAGTCAGGTTCTCCATGTACCTAAGCCCCCTATCAACACTTATCTGATTTCAACTAAGATCTTCTCCATCTCTTGGTAGTGGGGACACTTTGGTCAAATTTCCTGATTAACTCAGCACCCATTCCCCAGTACCTTCTGAAAGGTCCCTCTGACTACCTCCTGATATCCTTTCCCTCACTTTAACTAAGGTTTCTCCCCAGGCCCTGTCCCGGATCTAACACTCTGATGCTCTACTAGTTCTTACAAGTAGATCTACCAGCTCCTCCCTATTACAACTCTCCTCAAAGTCACCTGCCTTCCTCCATGCAACCCTTCTATTTTCCCTTTCTATCACTGGATGGTGACATACAGAAATAACCTGTTTTCAGCTCCCCAAACCTTGCATGAACCAGGTTCTTCCCATGGCATCTAACCCTCCACTCCCACTGCATGAAGTACTTGCAATCCCATCGTCCTTAGCCTGAAAATCTAAAACATCACAACTATTACCACGTCTCCCCAAAGCAGACTTCTTACCTTTTGTACTCTGAGTCAACACATGCAGTTTTCCTCCCAGGTCTCCCTCCCACTGCCTGGAGACCCAGTCTTCCCTTCTTAGCATGTTCTTTGGCCCCTAATTCTCTGCAGCGCCCGAGGGAATACATTCACCAACATCTTATTCACCTCTGTCTCTGTGGCCAACACTCTATTCTAGGAATGCTAGGCCCCCACATTTCTGTCTCCACATCTCTATAGGGCTTCCCCACTGACCCTCCTTCCAAGGCTTGGAAGTCCACCTTGCTCTCAGCCTTGCCAGCCCAACTCCAGGGAACAGAGGTCCCTTCCCTTCCCTTCTCTCCCCCTTGGCCCAAAGGCTGCCATCTACAGGACGCAGCCACGTCTACTAACCAGTTGCTCCTGTCCAGGGCGAAGGCCCAGCCGGGTTTTACAAGGAAGATGAGCAGGATCCAGAAATGGAAGATTACCCAGAAGCTGAACTTCAGCGTCAACTCGGTGTCCAGTTTCATATCCATGAAAATGTCTACAATAAAAATTAATAAACATTAAAGAAATGGAAGAAGACACACAAAAATGGAAAAATCTGCCATTCTACCATAAGCAATTTAGAGACACAATGGGATCCCAACCAAAGGACAAATAACATTTTGCCCAGATGGAAAGAAAACAATGCTAAATTCATATGAAAACATAGAACATCTGAATACTGAAAGCAACCTTATACAACATTGACAAAACTCAAAGTGTCACAATAACAGATTGTAAGACACAGAACAGGGCAGTTACGATCAAAACAGCTTGGTATAGGCAAAAAAAAAAAATGACATATGGAAAAATGGAACAGAAAAGAAACACCTGAAATAACGCACACATCTACAACTACTCTGTCTACAACTAGCTCTGATCTGAGCTAAAGATCAATCCCAGGTGCAAAGGACAGTTTCTTCAAAAAATGGTCCTGAGAAAACTGGACCTCCACATGCAGAACGCTGAAAGAAGCCCGATACCTTACACCTTATACAAAAAGCAACTAAAAACACTTCAAGGAACAAAATCTAAACTGAGTATCATCAATTACTAGAGAACACTAGTCCACTATGGGTACAGGTTCACATCCGTGTGCTCCGTGGGGGGAGGGGAGGCTGACACCAGCGTCTCGGCTTCCTCACAGTTGAGCTCCCACCCACCCCCACTGCCTCCAAACCTGTGGATTTGGGGGAGAACACCGCTGGGAAGCCCCGAATCCCACATCCTTTGAGGCA